ATTGAACAGGGTCTGTTTAGACTTGATGCGCATTCCCAAGATTCCTCAGGCTCTCCGGATTTTGTTCTGGTAAGGAGATTGGAATGATGAAATGCCCTATTGAATTCTATCTCCCGGCTTTTGTTCCTAGGCTGTTCTCTTATTTGGCAGCAATAAAGGATGCCACTATAGCTGTCTGAAAGAAACCCGCAAACGTATTCCTTGTGAAGCATCTGATTTCTATGTCCTCTTGAAGGATGCACTTAAAGCGTCTCATTCATTCCCTCACATTCTTTCCCAGAGAAGAATGCCAGCTTGTCTTGTTTATGTGAAAACTGGGCCTGCTTGTCTCAGCATGCTGCATGGTAATAGCAGGACATATTCTCTCTCTTCCCCCCCCCCCACCTTCGTTTGGCTTGGCAAATCTAGTCGCAGCCCTGACTACAATGTATATGCAAACCATCTGTATTGCATGTACATATATGGTGTGTTAGATCTCCTGAGGAGCAGTGACTGAGCACTTAGGTATGCCTCTAATGAATGATTTTTTTTTTCTGGGTGAGGCAGTTCATTCTTCTCTCAATCAAGTCATGTCTCTGTCCAAATTTTAATGATTCTTAAAAGCGAAGGCTTATCCTGCCCATACCTGCCTTCAGGAATCTCCTGATGAGAGAAGGCAAGGTGGCACCCATGCCTAAAGTTACGTGAACACTGTGGGAGGAAAGGACAAGAAGGTAGACACCTGCCTTATGTTCTGAAGTTGACAGAGGTCAGTTTGCTGTCAGCTTTTTTTAGCAGGATGGTACATCCTGCAAGAATACTGTGAAAGTACTGCGGTGTGCACACTATAGAATGTAATAAGGGTGTGAACCTTTGACTCTCCTGACGTTGCTGGACTCCATTTCCCATGAGCCGGAGCCAGAGCTGTAGACAGAAAGCATATGGAGGGCCAGAGTTGTTGCATATCTGAAACATACCATGTAGAGGGTGTGTACCAACCCTCCTCAGACTGAAGAAGCTACTTGGATGAGTAGTGAAATGTTTCAACCTAACAAGAAAGAAGTCCAGTTGCCATGACTCAACTTCCAGATAAGAGGTGTGGCTTTAACACGCCAAACACCTGCTCATCCACTAAAACGAACCATCTCTAATATTGTGCTACACCAGTGTCCAATGTAGTGGGCTAGACACAACAATATAGCGTTGTAAGGCCAGGCTTAAGGTCTCTCAGTGCCTTTATATGAACCATTCATTGTATGAGACCCTGACAGGATCTACCTTTTTTGGCTGACCTTCTGGCCAAGCCAAAAATTGTATTCACTGGTTGCCACTTACCCACCCACCTCCTGCTTCCACTGGCCTTCCAGTGTGATGGGTGTGATTCAAGGGCTTAGATTGAGGTTTAGAAGATGCAGGCTCAGATTCCACCCCCTGTGAAATGTACTGGGTGATTGTGGGCCAATCACTCTCTCACTGTCTCTTAGTCTGGCCTATCTCGGATGGCTGTTCTGAGGATAAAGCAGCAGAGAAGAGAGGAGAGCTATGCCTTGAGCCCATTGAAGGAAGTAACACATTGCCATTTCCCTTGGCATGAGTAGACAACTTGCGGGCCCTGTACAGCTCCCGTCAGGCCCAGGCTACTGAGCCAGTGGTGAGAGATGGTGGATGGAATAATTCAAAACAGAGCTGGAGAGAGCCAAAGTGGCCTAAAGGGAGTGCTACATGCCTTTAAGCAGCCATGCCCAGTGCTCTTTGGTCCTGGCCAGACCTTCCGAAAGGAAGCCTTTTCTTCAGCAGGAGAACCTGCAGGAACGGTCCAGCAGTGGGAAGGGGTCCCTTCCATGCCACTTTTCCTGCTGCTGCTGACTTACTCATTTATTTTAAATATTTTTACCCTACTTCTCGAAAGGATTAGAGTAGACAGCGTGGACAAATGATTTATTTCATGGACAACAAAGCAGCTTCCGGTATCCTCATCGAAACAGCCCACTGTCCTTGTCATTATTGACTGACTGGGCTCCCTGGGGAGAACAAGAATATCTGTAAATGGCTGACATAGGCAAGTGTAGGCAGCTGGGCTGCCCCGCCCTCACACAATTCCTTCACACTAGCCACTTGGCATTGCTGCCATTCACCCAAGCCTATATTCCTCTGGGGAAATTAGCTATGAGGTTACTGCTGTATACATTGCACACATTATGGTGAGGACGTGCCTGACGGCAATACAGATTTGCCCAAGTATACCGCTCCATGTTGCAGTGGCATCTTGCAGAACTGAGACTGGTGGTTTATATACTATCTCTTCCGCCCATTGCCCATGGCTTTCCTGAACCAAGCAGGACTAGATACTGTGCTCGGAAGAAGGAAATGGCCCCTTCCTGCAGATATTTAAAAAATCTGAATGAAATGTTGTGTTCAGAATTGAACATTGCATTAGCTCATGCACAGTAGCAGCTTTTCTGAATACGAACATAGGCATGTGATTAGAGGTCGCTGAGACTTTGGAAGAGAATTGCAGACTAGCTTCTCTTAGCCAAGGCTTTAGTCCATATGTTCCTGTTTTCTTCACAAGTAGCATTCTTCAAATTCTTTCCTTGTGATCCTTAATGGTCCAGCTGGACTCTTTTCAAATGAGTTCCTTTTGCTGTTTACCTTATTACACCCTGAAACAGCAGGGGCTGCTTTGCAAGGGGAGGGGCGCAGGATATTTGGTACAGAGTGTTTTCTAATGCAGTTAAATTGTACTCTGTAACAGCCTTAGAAATCCTGTTTTCATGAATCCTTGGATGTTTTAAAGGCAGTGTGGCTTCCTAGAGTAATGAGTGAATCTGATCATCTAACAGTGCATGCTTGGTGCTACCGGCAGCTGTTTATGGCTTATATTGAACTTACTTTTCCCAAGCTTGGATCCATTGTAGCTGAAGCCTCTGTACTGCAAGGTCAGAAGACCTGCAGTCATAAGAGTGAATCAACGTGACGGAGTGAGCCCCCCATCGCTTGTCCCAGCTTCCGATTGTCTTCGGACAAACGCTAGCTCTATGGGTTTGAAACGGAGATGAGCATCACCCCCTAGAGTCGGGCACAACTGGACAAATTGTCAAGGAGAACTTTTATCTTTACCATACACACATCATCAGTAAGCTCGAGCGAAACCCAGGATGTGCAAAATGACTTCAAAGAACATGCTTCTATGAAATCATAGAATGATTGAGTTGGAAAAGGCCTATAAAGCCATTGAGTCCAACCCCCTACTCAATGCAGGAATCCAAATCAAAGCAGATCTGACAGATAGCATGTTCCAAGACTAGCAGGTTAGGACTGGGGAAAACGGAATAAGGAGGATGGGGGGCGGGGAAGAGGGGAGAATGAAATGGGGTATTGAGGAAGAGGGCATGGCTGGTTGACTAGCTGGGATCCTGTACATGAGTACTTTGCAGTACCTTGTTTTGAGTCTTACTTGGCAGCCTTTAGCAGGAATTGTGTCTTTAAGATTGCATTCTGTTGCTTCAGGTTCTTGATAGATACCTTTCAACTGTTGAAAACTACTTAAGTCATGGAGGTACCTCGAGAGATGGCCTGTGCTAGCAAGCTTTTCAGTTTCGGTAGAAGTTGCCAAAAAGGCTAAAAGCAAGGCTGAAACTTCATACCATAAAAGAAGTTCCCTGGAAGGAACTTCTATTGAATTCTAGCAGTAATAAAGATATGGTTGCTGAAGAAAAAAGATTTGAATTCCTACACATATGATGTACACATATTTATAATTGCATATGAACATATGCATTGTCATGCTTTATCTTTGTGAAAAGAATGGGATGGATTCTCAAGGTTGCCAGCTTATTCTTGCACAGTGTTTGACCCAGCAAGCAGAATGTTGCATCATAAAATCCATCAATGTTACTAGTTCTGATTGTTCTATTCTGCTACCAGATTCTGACACGCTGTAGCTGGGGATGTCTTTTGCTTTCGCCCCCTGCTAGGGTACTTCTAAGAGACATCTAGTTGGCTATTGTGATGAATGGGATGTGGGACTGGGTTGCCTCTTGGCCTGATGCAGGAAGTGACCTGCTAAGTAGTTCCAGTTCTTGACAACACAGGTGTGTATTGTGGCTTAGAAACCTAACAAAAAGAGCAAATCTAAAGCTCCAGAAGATTCTGAGGGGTGCTGAGATAGGAAACATAACCTAACTTAGTTGCCATGGGCCTTCTATAATCATGGAGGTAGAACATGTGGCTGGTGTCTTGGACTCCCAATTGTCACAATCATCCACCATTGACTGTGAAGTCTAGGGCTTAGTATGGAAGTCCAGCTGCATATGGAGGGCTGTGTATTCCTCAGTCCTGTCCAAATGAAGATGGTTTGTTTTAAAAGCTCATTATTCTCTTGGCTGTTTTCTTGGAAGCTTCAGGAGCAACGCTGGAGCATTTATGCTAGTGGAGTGAAAAGCTTCACCAGGTTCTTCCTGCAAGACTGTTTTGAAAACAGCTTTGACACTGTTGGATCTAGGTCCATGGGTCTAAAATTTTTAGCTGCCTCAGTTTTTAACTATCTACATTAATCAAAATGCTTGGTTGTAGCCTGGCGAGGATCTGTGCGCCCATGGGTTGACTTTTGTGCTGGTTGACTGGACTTAAAAAGAGATATGACGACTGTTTCTTTCAGAGTCAGCTTCAGTTAGCTTTGACCACCAGAGGACACAGATTCCTTCTAATTTGGATGGTGGAGAATAGAAACTGAAAGTTGGGGAAAGGGAGCTGGAATAAAGAGCCACAGGAAGACAGACGTGTAGCATCAGAGCCATGGAGACTTATGTTTTTGGACTGTAACTCCCAGAATTCCTCAGAAGACATGGCCAGTGGCTATGTTGCCTCAGGAATTCTGGGAGTTGTAGTCCAAAAACAAGTCTGTGTGGTTCTAATCGGCATGTAGGCCATGTCACAAGATCTTGTGGCACTTGACAACATACATGTAATGTTTGTTCTTCACTCATGCAATTCTAACAGATGTTACTCATTTTTGACAGGATCACCTTACTACGATAATGTCCGCCCCCTTTCCTATCCGGATTCTGATGCCGTCTTAATTTGTTTTGACATCAGCCGCCCAGAAACTCTTGACAGTGTATTGAAAAAGGTAAGCATTTAAGAGTGACCATGGATGGGGACTGCAGAGCTGTGAAATGTCCCTGCTTCCCCTCTCTGTTTGATTTTTCCTCTTGCTACTACTGGCAGCAGCGAACAAGAAGTTTCTTACATTTTTGAGAAAAACGGCCAAGAAGAACAGCCTCCCAGAGAACAAATGAAGAAATTTGGGAGGTCACTGGGCATGTGTGGTCCTGTGAGGGGGCATCCATGGCCCTCAGGTTTCTACCAGCAGCTCATCTTGTCCTGTAGACAGTTGTGCCAACAAGATAAAAGCCCTTACTGTACGGCAATGTATATACTGGGATAGAATATGTGTAGAAATACATCGATTTAGATAAAAATATGCTTGGACATGCAGTTTGTAAGGAAATACCATTCTTCTTTGAAAGCCCCTCCCTCCCCCAAATTTTGTTTTGAAATTAGTAAGTTAATGTGCAAATAGAAGGGACTGGTGAATAAACACATTTGAACTGGATTCGATAAGTCTAGCTGTTCTCTGGCCACCATTGCTTCTAGGGGCCTTGTGTGAAAGACTTTTCCTGGTTGTAAGGAAATACCATTCTTCTTTGAAAGTCCCTCCCCCCCCCCAAATTTTGTTTTTAAATTAGTAAGTTAATGTCCAAATAGAAGGGACTGGTGAATAAACGCATTTGAACTGGATTCGATAAGTCTAGCTGTTCTTTGGCCACCGTTGCTTCTAGGGGCCTTGTGTGAAAGGCTTTTCCTGGCTAGGATGAGATTGGCACTGCTTTCCAACCCTATTGCTGCCTGTGGATGGGGCCTCAGGCCTCAAAGCAGCCAGGAACGCTATTTCCTCAGATTCTTGGCAGCGCTCGAAGCTGTTCAACCGGCAGACGGCTTCCTGCTGTCCCTGGAGACCATAAATCTAGAGCTGGGAGACCGATGACACTCCAGCCCTTTTGGCCTCCAGTGCCTACCAGGCCACACCTGTGGAGAGCGCTTGTGGGAGCTGTAGCCCAAAAAGTTGTGGAAGGCCAAAGGTTCCTCTGCTCCTGCCATAAAACCCTGCTGTGCGTACATGTGACCATACCTTTGGGGCCCTTACAGATTCCCTGCTGCCTCTCAACACAAGAAAGGGTCAGTATTTTGCCCCCACACACACACACACACACAAAGAAATCACTAACTAAGCCATCCACTACTCCCTTTTCCACCTTTGCTTCCTGCCACCCATTTCTGTGATATTAAAAAAAATTATTAGTCATATCCCCGTAATCACTGTCCCTGCCAAGGTCAACACAGCTTTGGAATCAGGTTTTTCTGTTGTTTTGAAGACCTAACCTGACCTACAAAAAATGGCCCTGGAGAGTAGGAAGAGGTGAGACAAGTTCAGGTTTTGTGTCCACATTCGGACTTGAAGAGTTTCTTGGGCAAATACACACACCTCTCGACTGGTGTTCCTACTAATGATGCTGGCTTGTGGTAGAGAGTTCCCTGCTTAAGAAGAGTGCCACAAAGGCTTTGTAACGTTACATTTCTTTTATATTAGGGCTCAACAACCTCTCTCCTCTCCCAAGGCACCCCTAATTTCACTTTTATACAATGGGGTGCTTCCAGATAGGGGACAGTCCCATTGGAAAGGCATTGCACTTTTCCTTTCGTCATGGATTTCCTCTGATGATTAAACAGACAGGGGAAAAAAGAGCTTTAAAAGCTTTATATTAAAGACAACAGGGCTTAGGGGCATTTCTGGACTGCACTTTTATCATGGTCTCAAAGTTTTATGGGGATACCATCTTCAATTTGGAGCACTCCTGTTTTCCCTTTTTGTTGCCATCTTATTCAGTTAAGGGGGGGGAGGCAAAATAACTCTGCAGCAACTTTTAAGCATGAGCTGTCAGAGGCTTTAGTCTCAAAACAGCCTGAAATGTCCCATCAACTGCTCTGAATGTGCAGTTGTGATTTCACAGTTAGCGCATCTTCTAGAAACACCCATGGAGCTCTGGACGTTCAGATGCCTGGATTGTTACCAACATCTGCCCTTGTGTTTCACTTCCCAAAAGATATTGGTGGCAGGTAACGCTGCAGGTCCCCACACTTGTTCTGTGCTCGTCTCAAATTAGAGGTCTGAAGCACAGGGCCTGCACTCTGTGCTACATAACCTGGACTGAACAGTGGAAGCATTTTAATGTAAGCATTTTAACGTAAGCCTTTGGAAGCCTCAGGACAAGGTGGAGGAAGAGCTTCCCTAGGGCAAAAAAGGAGCTCTAATGAGACTTTGAACCTAAAGGGGGATGGGAAGCTTTTAATTACCTTAAATTAAATGCTTCTGGCACCTGATCCGGGCTAGGTGGCACAAAGTTACACAAATGGTATTTTGTCCGGCTTCTCATCCATGCCTTGAAATAATACAGACCTGTGTACTTGAACTCCATCATTTTCAATGAGTCAGTAGTTACTACATATCCTGGACTGCATCTCCTTGTATACCCCGCGATTAATACATGTTCCATAACATGTCCAGTTCAAGAAGTGCTGCTGTTGACACTTTGATGGCAGTTTCCCATATGAATATGCTGCAGCTGGAGAGAATATACAGACTGTGCTGCATCTGAGGTTTAAGCTTTGCCCTGAAATGCAAGTTAGGTTTCACACAATGCAAATAATACTGTGAGCATGACATAGGTTAAGACCATATTTCCATCTAATTATATATTTCTGCTTATAATTGGGGAAACTGTTTAAACATGCTTTCAGAAACTCCTTTGATGATATCTGTTCTGTCAGTTGAGGCAGTGAATCATAGGGAAGAAGTAACTCATGCCATGGCAGCTGGCCTATCTGGAAGGGATGTTGAGGCTCACATTTCATGTATTTGGTTCCTCTCCCTCAAGGCTTAATGCCTCGAGTCCAAGAAGCGGTAACGTAGAAATGTAAGACATCTAGTGACAAGAATAAGCGCCATTTTCCTAAATATAGCTTTTGGTCTTGTATGAACTGCCTTGGGTGTGGAACCGGAAGGGTGGGATGTAGATGCTTGTATTAATGAGAGCAAAAGGCAGAAGATACACCAGGGTGGTTCTCTCACATGCACAAAAATACACACATACCAGTCTTAAGATCTTCAGGTTATATGTATGTCTAACCAAGAGTAGAAAAGTTCCTCTCTTTTTTTTTAAACAACTCCCAGAACCTGCTCAGCCAACTGGGGAACTATAGGAATTGTAGACCGGAACATTATTTTTCTCAAACTTTGGGTCTGACTCTCCTCTATCCTTTAAGCCAGTGGTTCCCAACCTTGAGTAGCCCAAGTATTCTTAGACTGCAATTCTCAGAAGTCTTCACCACCAGCTGTACTGGCTGGGGTTTCTGGAAGTTGCAGTCGAAGAACGCCTGGGTTACCCAAGGTTGGGAACCAGTGCTTTAAGTTGAAAGATTTCTTTTTGGGGGGGGATAGAACCTAAATTAATAAATACATGTAAATAAATGTGCACATGCCTATCAGGAGGGGAACTGCACCACATTCCTCTTCCACAGGCAAAGGATCTTCAACTTGGAACATAGAAAACCTGGTACAGGATCCGCTTGATGCAAATTTTATCTATGCCATTGAGACAGCTGATCCTGTTCTCTCAGTGAACCTCAGGAAACAAGGTTGCTCAGTTGACCCACATGGTGGCAGCTGAGGGCATCAGTCTGCCAACTTGAAGTCTTGAAATAAACTAGTCCTTTCCTCTTTAAGCATCCGTACATTCAACTGAAGGTAAAGAAAGTCTTTAGGTCACTGGGTAAAGCAGAAACAAAGTGCTGCTTATATACTACCCCACAGTGCTTAAAGCACTCTCTAGGTGATTTATAATTTAATTATACAGACTACACATTGCGCCCCCCCCAAACTAGCTGGGTACTCATTTTACCAACCTCAGAAGGGTGAAAGGGTGAATGAACCTTGAATCCAGTTCATGAGCAGAGCTTTGGCTGCATTACTGCAGTTTAACCACTGTGCCTTGAGGTAGACCTGTGTATGTTTACTCTGTAGTAAGTCTCGCAGTGTCCATTAGCCTTGCTGTCACATATAGTTTTGGAAGAGGTAGCGTTAGTATGCGGTAGTTATATTAGGCAAAAACAAAAGAACAATAAAAAATAAAGACAAGAAAGTTATGGCACCTTAAAGTCGAACTGCTAAATTTTAATGTGAGCTTTCATGAACAAGTCCATTTCCTTAGACATAAGAGTGGGACTATAGGACAAATATTTATACATTTATACATGGTCCCAGTCTAGAGACTAGATTTGGGCAAAAATGGTTGACCTGGCAATGACCCTTAAGTTCCCCTCCCAGGAAGAATTGTTCTTTAAACAATGATAAAGTGGCAGAATTAATCCCAGGCTATAGATAACCAGCAGGAACATGGCATTGAGTGTCTCTAATAATCAATGGGGCTTGTCAGGTAGCACTGATTAGGTAGAAAGAAAATATAGGTGAGATTATAGGAGATACAATAAACATTTTATATTTGATAGTGGTCTACAAAACGTTGAGTTGTATTAAGACCATTAAGATGTGTTTTAATCACATGTATATGTATGTCATGTATATGCAGCTGCTAGGTAGTTCATTGAAAAAGCCCAGTCAGTTGTTAGTTGGTTGAGAAATATGAAATGTTTGATTTAATACTTATATTGCAATTTTCAAATGTTCCAGCTTAACAACCATGAAGTGTGACTTTCCAAAGCATCTCGGTGTCTTAAGAAACTCATTTCAGTGGGATTCTAACAATGTTTTTTTTTTAACAGTGGAAAGGTGAAATCCAGGAATTTTGCCCCAACACGAAAATGCTGCTGGTTGGCTGCAAATCTGATCTGCGCACAGATGTTAGTACACTAGTAGAGTTATCCAATCACAGGCAGACACCAGTATCATATGATCAGGTAGGTGCAGTGTCATACCTTGCTAATTAAGGAATGATGTTCATTTCTCACTCCGTCCACGCCAGTGATTCTTGCAGCACACTGTAGCCAGAAGTACCAACTATATTACACAGGTTATCATTGTTCATCATCACTGCCAGTAGTCAGCAGGCAGTGCCTGGATTCTTTGGTTGGGTCTTGTAAGATACTGAGTTGTATGACTTCAGGCAGCCGTACCTGCTGGTAAAATGTGTGTATTCTGTGCAGAAGATAGCAAGTTCAATATCTGGTATCCCCAGGCAGGCCTGAGCAAGCTTCCTGCCTGAAATCCTGGAAAACGACTGCAAGCAGGTGCAAATAACCCTGAGCTAGACTGAGCAATGACTCGACTGTGTATTGAGCTGCTCCCTTTGGTCCTGAGACTCGGCAGCACAGCTCTTGGATGAGGCCATTAGGGAAATTGGATGCTGTGCTGCCAAATCGTGCTTGAAGAGAGTGAATGCTGTGATGTGGGATGGTGTGGAGCTGAAAGATGGGAAAGAATCTGTATGATGGTAGAATCAGGTATATAAGGCGAAAACACTTCTCAGAAGGGACACCTGCATGATGGGAAAAAGAGTGCCACCTTCAGCCAACCAAAGTTCTCTTCACCAAGGAGCAGATGATCAGGCACTTGATAACACAGCGTATCTGTGTAGTTTACGCTTCATCTCATGGATGAACAGGTTGTGATCATCCAGGTACTGTATAGTTAGACTTTGTTACTGTCTGTGCTAGGAGTTTCTGTCTAACAATATTTGTTCCTGGCCCATCAGCACACACCAGTTCTGTGCTGTCCTCCATTTCCTGTGTTGTTCAAATGGGATAATTGAAGGAGGCATTGGTCCCTCTGACTTTAAACATGTGCTTCTCCCTGTCCTTTTGTAGGGAGGGAGAGAGCAATCAGTCAAACCCTTTTCTGTGCATTCCATCTGTGTTTCCTATAGATTTGTGGCAAATCCAGAAAACAGAGACCTCCTGTTTTCCTTGAAGAGCAATAATAACCTTCTATGTCTGTGTACAGTAATATCTTTTAAAGAGGGCATTGGATGTTAATTGACGTGAAACTAATTGCAACCCTTCAACTCCTCGTGGGGCTGTGGCATGAAACCGGCATGGTTTTTAGTTATTCACTTATTTTACTGTAACACTCCACAAATGGAAGTCCAGGGTAAGAGTGGCAGTCAAATTCCGCTCTTCCAAGCCACTCACATATCCACATTAACTTGAAAGCAAATTCCCTTGAAAAGAATGAATCTTTTACTTCCAACCAAACGTAGCTGCTCTCTATAAGATCAAGAGTTTCTTTCAGGTGTTGGTGCCTTGTGTGTTCAGTATGCAGTCATGTTTTTACACAGAACTGCCTTTCTCTGTGACACAAGTTCTATTTTTCATTTTGTGTTCTGGAAGGATTAGACTCTGCATGTTGAACACTTCAGTTCTCGGAGCATTTTGGTCCACTGGTACTTGTCAGGCCACTTGGTACATTTTTTTAAATGTCCCTTTCAGTGCTGATCCCAGACAAAGCTTTGCCATTTTATTACTCATCATTCATATCCCAAGAACTCGGTCCGATTGAATGGTATGCAGGCAAAAAATTTAGAAAAAAATTAGAAGGTTCTCTCCATGACTCTTCAGTCAGCTGAAGTGTCACATTTCTCACCACCCCCAACTGAAATGGCATACTTTATACTGTATTCCTGAATATAAAACAAATTAACTGTGCAGACCTATATGTCTCTACTCAGAAGTAAGTCCCATGTATTTGATCAATCCATGTAGGAATGCAGCTGGAGACCTTCCAGGTGATCATGATCAAAACTCTCAGGAGCCCCACCCATGCTGGGTGGAGTTTATGGGAACTGCAGTCCAGTATATCTGGAGGGTGTCTGCTGTAATCCCACCAATGCCTGCATTATTTCCAGGTGGGGTAAATTATTGCCTGTGGACTTGCTGTCAGCCATCATGCAATAGCTGTTCATACAAAATTCACACAAACCCTTTGTTCACCCCTTTGTTCATGCAGACGAATGCTGGGAGAAGACGCTTAGCCAGTTTATAAGGTCTAGAAAGTCCACAGGGTATAGTGTGGCTTCTAAGTTGTATGGTTTGGCCTTCACTCAAAGTTGAAGGTATGTTGCATGACAGCAGTCAACCACAGGCCTCTGGGGGAGCTGCGTTTTTGCGGCTTCCAAATCAAAGCTTTCTGTAATAACATGCAGTAAATGTGCACCCCATAATATATTTTTTCTTCTTGGTGGTGGTTTCCAATATAGTGTTTCTGAGGTTAAGTTCCCTCAATGGAGATTAATTGACTAGGATAATCCAAAACCATCTGTTTGCCACTTAAGCCTGTTAGGACACAGGCTGTTATAATACATGCTGACTGAAGGCCCCCCCACCCCACCCATCATCTTCAGCTCTAAATACTAAGCTAGCACAATGCTCCAGTCTCTCAGTAATTGCTCCTTTTGGTGAAGGTCCTCAGAATTCCATCCCTGCTTATCTACCCACCCAGTCATTTCATGGTTTCTAGATGTGTTCCAGATCATTTCAGTTGGACAGGATGTTTGACAGTGAGAAAAAGACATGAGATATTTCCTAACATCAGTGGCAAGCAACATTTGGAATATTTCTGCCTGAGCCCATAAGTGGTCCTTGTAGTTCTTGACCCCTCATCTGAACTCATGAGTATTCTACCCATAGTTATTTTTGGTGTTTAACTCCCACCATCCTCTAGCCAACAGAATTGCTGATGATTATGGGAGCGGTATCTAAAACTTGTTTCCATCTTCTGCTTGCACCCTGTAATAGGAATCCAAACAGCTGCTTTTAGATTAGCTGTTTGTAATAAGCACGAAAACAAAAATCCCGAGGCACCATTAAGACTAACAGATTTACTGCAGTGTGGGCTTTCAAGGATTACAATCCACTTCCTCACAGCTCCTTGATTTTACCTCTTTGCAAGAACCCTGTGTCCAGAGCTGCTGCAGGCATCCTTTCTCTTATTTCTCCAAAGGCTTTTGGTTAGTTTGAGCAAAATGGCTGGCAAGGAAGGATTCTGCAATATTGATGCAAGGGAAGAGGAAGAAGTACGATTGCGAAACAAATTGTCTCTTGATATATTTGTCAGTTTTGAGTTAATTCTAGCCAGTTTTATCTGGAAGTAAGCCCTACTAATTTGAGTTTGATTCCCTTCTGTGCCTCCAGCTCTGCGGTTCTAAGATGATAATGATGATGAAAATCAAGCTTCTCTTTCTCTGTCTGTCTCTCTCTCTTTCACCTTAAGAGACTTGAAAATACCCTTTTCACCTGATTCTCTCTGGTTGTTTTGAGTGGTTACTCTCATCACCCCTAATTATTGGCCAAGTTGCTGGTGGCAATGGGAGTTGTAATCCAAAACATTTGTAGGAGACAACATTGAGGAAAGCTTGCTTAGCACCTGACCACTGTTTGGTTTTTTTCCTTTTCTTTGAAGCTAGTTGGGTTTTTGAGGTCAGCTTCTGAAAGGTATAATCAAAATATATTAAATTTTTCAACCTGTGCTAGGAAGGGAAAAAAGCAGACTGCCCAAACCTGAAAGCCTACTCCAGTTACTATGCAGACAGTGGTGTTTGTAGCACAATAATTGCAACACATTTTGCTTTGCAAATAAAGTGCCTCTATATACCTCACATATATCCTGCCAACCTAGCAGTTCGAAAGTATGTACAAATGTGAGTAGATAAATAGGTACCACCTCGGTGGGAAGATAATGGCGTTCCATGTCTAGTCACGCTGGCCATGTGACCACGGAAGATTGTCTTCGGACAAAAGCTGGCTCTACGGCTCGGAAACGGGGATGAGCACCACCCCCTAGAGGTGAACACGACTGGACAAATTGTCAAGGGGAACCTTTACCTTTATATACCTAAAGCTGGATCCTTCTAAACTTCCTCAATTGGCTCCTAGGCCAATGCAGCATGGTGTCCTTCTTCCCCATCATTCCTGCCCCTGCCAGAGATGCTTGTGTCTCTTGAAGAAGATCAGCTAGTGAAAAGGACTGGTGGGAATCTTGTTTTAGAGTTACTTATAAACTGCTGTGCAAATGACTCTGCTACTAAGTTACTCTGCCATAATTTATCTTGAAGTTCAAATGGATAAATGTTTCATTTTGTGCCATCAAGTTGCATCCAACATATAGCTACTGCCTAACAGGCTATTTGAGGTATCTGAGATATTTAAGGAGTAGTTTCACCAGTCCTACCCCATCCAGTTCATGAGTTTCCGTGGCCTAGTGGAAATTCAGACCCGGGTCTCCAGAGCCCTAGTCCACCACTCTACCCACAACACCACACTAGATGTTACAGATACAAATAGATCCTGGAGTTATGTTTCTACACTTTAGTTTTCCCCGATGGTCACATTACAGGTTGCTATGGTATATGTTTATTTGCTGGCCTGTAAATTCAGTGCTGAAAGTCATGAAAATATTAAACACTAACTTTGAGTTCTTACATTTGATGCTTGCTTGGAAGAAAATAAAGGCTTGAGCACTTGCATTGTTATGAACTTGTTTCCTTGTTTAAAAAAGCTTTTGATATAAAAAGCAGCATCAAAGAATAATTGCACAGTCAGCTGTCATTTAGAGAAGGGGAAATGTAAGGGACAGATCATATGAATTAAACAAAATTATGTTTAAATAAACAAATGAATAATTTTTCTCCATTTTTCCATAGGGCACAAATATGGCCAAGCAGATTGGAGCAGCCACTTATATAGAATGCTCAGCCTTGCAGTCGGAAAACAGTGTGAGAGACATTTTTCATGTGGCTACTTTGGCCTGTGTAAACAAAACCAATAAAAATGTGAAGCGGAACAAGTCTCAGAGAGCAACGAAGCGAATTTCGCACATGCCAGGCCGGCCAGAACTCTCTACAGTCACCACAGACCTACGAAAGGACAAAGCGAAGAGTTGCACGGTGATGTGAAGGATTCTGTCACCTAAACGGAGATGGAAAGGACAATATGTTTGGGTGGGATAGGTGAAGACTCAACAAGACGCGCCCAGTGAAAATGGTCTGTAGTGTGGCCATGCCAGTGCTTCAAGGCCGTGGTTTACCCTCGGTAGGCAAGAAACTGTACTGGGGGAGTTCGGTATGTAGAGGAAGCAGTGGGAAGTGATGGATTCTGAAGGGATGTCAATATTACTTGGATGAATACCAAATACAAAGAAAGCTCTCTGAATGTGCAAAAGAAGTAAAAGGATTAGTGGCGCTTGAGGAAATGATGTCCTGGATGATACTTATTTTTAGATCTATTTTTGAATACCGGCTTCGATTTTGATTACAGGATAAAATGTTGCTTTTAAAAGTAAATTCAAGATACTCCTACCCTCTTCGCTGTGAAGTGTGATCCTGTAATACTGTTTGATTCCCTCCCACCTCCAAAGAATACAGTGGCTTTTGCTTTTCATTTGTCCTTAAAACAGGAAGGATTGGTCATCCAGAGGAAAACACTTGTGCTAAGTGTCTTAAAGTACAGCTTCCATGAGATGACTAGAGATGGAAGAAATCAACCAAATTAAGTTGAAAAGAGGCTTAAATCAGAAACTTCTGATTTAAAAGAAAACCAGAAGAGAACGGGGAGGGGCTTCAAATGGCTATATAAGAATAATTCACAAATGCAGACTCTCCCTCTTCATCATTGTGATTGTACTGAAAAAAATTGATAGTGGCCTAAGAGCTAAATTATTGTGATAGCATCTTCATAAAGGAAATTGTATACTATATGGACATCATGGGTTGAATTGCAAAGCCTAAAAAAAAAAAAGGAATGGTGCTAAGATTTAGTTATAAAAACAGTCCTTAATTAGAATGGAATTTTAGTCTTACTGCCCTCCTAATAGTCTCCTTGAGTATGAAGGAGGCCAACCTCAGCACTGTGTATGGGAAGAAGTGCTGTTCTATGATTATTTTTTTTTCTACAGTTCTGTACTGGGTGTTTTTTGTTTTGTTTTCTAAGCTAGCACATGAGCCAATACATACCCAATTATCTCCATTATGATGCATCTCTAAGAATGGCAGACCGTCTCCTGTTACACATTGCTGTTCCCGTGTAATGAGCGCTCTGAGGAAATGGGGGAGGAGGGGCCTGGAAAACTGTGGAACCTTTAAGGGGCCTCAAGTGGAAACTGGATATTGCAGTAATCCTCGAGGTCTAATGCAAGCATATCCAGACAGTCATCATTAAACATTACTTGTGTGACCCACATTCTGTCAAATTCCTTTTCCCTGACTGATGACTATTGTTACATCCACTAAGCCAGTCCTGAAAATAGTTTACAGATGTTGTTGGGCTTTGGAGGACCGCAACTCTGCTGAGAGTGTCTCTCTGGCTTGTTGAATGCAAGCATTTCCCGCTCAAATGGCTTCATTTTTGAAGTACGATTGCTGCACACCACATACAAACAAATCCAAATACATTACGACCATTATAACGCTTTTGATCGATGCATTGGTATGCTTAAGGCAGTATTAAAAAAAAAACCCACTAGCTGGCAAGTGCTTTCTGTATTTAAGTATTGTAAAAAAAGAAAAAAGTTAACTGTTAACAGAACATCCATCACTTTCTAACAAATGTCGGTCACTTTGTATGTTTGGTTATTGTTTCTGCAGTATTTATTTTTTCCTTTTAAATAAAAAAAAGTTTAGTCGTTTAAATCTCTGTTTGTGAACTGTTCTATGTTTCCCGGTGATTGGGTATGTTTCTTAGCCTGCTGGTTGATTGTGGTAATTCAGCAGAGCAAAGGTGCTACCATATGGTTGGTGTGTCACACAAACCGGTAGCCTAACTCTGTTTAAATCAGATTAATATTAGGCGCTGATTATTCTTTGCCTTTTTCCTTCCCTTTCTGCTGTCGGCTAGGGACAGTCTATTTCCCCTGAGGTCTAATGGTAGCCTTACCTCGCTCAGATTAACTAGGTGTGTCTGTTTATTTAGAGCTATGCATCAGAGGGCCTGATTACAGGAGACACTATTTGCATGGTTAGTTACGTGAATAGTTTTAAGAAAGTAAATAGCAGGAAAGATCTGGTTTGGGACACTGGTATAGGGACTTTAACCTTGGCCAAACCATTCTAACCAATTGATATTTTGATGGATGTCACAGTTTTCCCCACTGCCAGCAAGCCTACAGATAGCTCCCAGTGAAACCTAGCACCATCACACACCACTTGACGGGATCCACTGGCAAGCCCACAGAGATTTCATCTTCATTATTGTCGGAGGGCCACATACAGATTTTCCCATCAAGCCTCTCGCCCCACTGTCCTTCCCTGTATGCTTTTGGTAACGTCTGAGGAAGAAGATCTCTGAAAAGGTTCAGAGATTGCACACATTTGTTGTACCTTTTTGCTTGACCCAGGAAAGATCCAACCACAGTGTGCCCCCATAATGTGATGCTGGATTTGCTGTTTGTTAAAGGGCCAGAGCCATTTCATACTACAATACTGCCGTGCTTTTAGAAAAGCAGGCATTGTTTATCTGTAATGTGCCTCTGTTGATTCTGAGCCAGGCAGAGCAAGAGAGGTAATTTACATGCTGGAGAATGTGACTGGAAATGTAAAAAAGCAACAACCTGATCCTTGTAGTTAGATTGAATCATCATTCTCTTAACGGATACATTCTGAGAGGAAACCCTCTTTAAGTGAAATTGATGGGTATTGACTGGAATTCCTGATAATCCCTTAATCACTTCGTGGGTGGGCTAGAGTTAGCACTTTTCAAATTTCAGATTGAATGGCTTTGAATTACTCGGGTGGCCAAGCAGGAGATCCAACTGATATAAGTGGAATTTGGTTGCTAGGAATATTTACAGTCTAATTCTTTTTGACTGCAGTCAGAAAACAAGCCTACAATAACAAGTGTTTTGCCAGGCCATCCTGCCGGTGCAGTCTTGTGGGTTGGCTTTCTTACAGCAGTAATAGCCTCTTGTTTCCAGATGCTGCCTCAGGTAGATGAGCTGTGTCATGCCAAGTTAAGAATAACCATTTATACAGAGATTACAGCTAGCAAGGCAATCTGCAGCTGGTCAGACATTACTTCACTTGCTAATCATCGGATGCTTCCTGCTAAGTCAGCAGTCACATCAATCAGGGATGCTATCTCTTGGATAGCACTGGAAAGCATTATTTTGAAAACGTGCTAAAATCTTACTTTGGGCTTTTGATCCAAATGTGGCCATTTCCAATTCTGTCCCAAATGTTAAGCTTCCACCTCCCATGGGCTACAAGCTTAAACCTACTTATTAAGGAGTAAACCTTATGAGCAACTGAGTAAGCATACACAGTGCCTATTTAGAAAGGTAAAACACCCAGCCTATTTTTTTTTTAAAAAAGGATTGCTAAATTCTGTGAAATAATATGAAGCTGGAAATAATTTCCACATAGACACAACCGAAAAGTGGGAAAAGTTCCTGCATAAAAGGATACTAAATAACCAATAAAAACTCTGAAGCCGTGTCCTCAGAATCATCTGAATTAGAAATGGATTCAATCTGCAGTTCTTTAATGCGCCACAAGAGTTTATTTTTGTTAATGCAACCCTCAGGAGAAAAAAGGTGCTTCCTTTACATGCAAGACAAGGTTCCCCCAAGCTAGTGCCCTCCAGGTGTGTCAGACTACAATACCCATCAAACTGTTGGAATGATGGGAGGTATATTCCAAAACAGCTGGAGGTCACTAGCTTGGGGGGTGGGGGTGGGAAGGCTGATTAAAAGCAGCTAGTTTCACTAAGGAATTAACCAAATGGTAAAGATAAGGGTGCCTAAGGAGGTGACACTTTTGCTGGAGACTACAGGAGATTTAAAAGCAAGGTACATGTGAAAACTAACAGGATGATTGCATTTTATTGGGCAGCAGACAATTGTTGTTTTAGCCACCTCATGGAAATACTTGACACTAAAGTTTTAAAACTGCACTCCTTATAGATGCCAAGGCCTACAGAATCTGGACATAGTAGATGTGCACAGAAAGAAGTTTTTCCATTTCACCCATTTTTAAAAGATATCCATCTTTAATCTTTTAAAGTTGTTTTTGTAAAACACAATTGGCCAGAATCCTATGGGCAATTTACATGTGTATAAGAGAAGTCATGTAATTTGTGGTGGCAAACGTCCGCTCCTTAGGTGCTGGTTGTGCTCCTGGGCATATACACAATTGGGCGTACAGCCGAGGAATGTGACAGGCACCTCGTTCATGAATGGCAATTTGCCACCACCACTTACATGCCTTCTTTTATGCAACCCTAATTTGGTAATAGTATTCTGGCCACAAATTTGATTTGCAGAAGAAACTCGTGCTGCTTGGGAAATGTTTATTATAATTCTAAAAAATATTAAACAAAAAACAGAGGAGGAGGAGGAGAAACTGTTTTTGAAGTCGCTGGTTCATTAAACGACTATAGTGATCATATTGGCACATCTGGACTGGTACACAACATCCTTCCCTAATTGTCTTCATTTACCAGCTAAATATTTTCATTCAGCTGGTGAATGAAGAAACCTATATTTTCTGTCATTATTTTTAGTCCTCCACTACCAGGCATACGTAGAGGACAGCACTAGCACTTTTCCCTCTAAAGTTAAAAACAATTGCCCCCCTACAGCAAGCTGGATTGCAGGACTTATTTCTCCAAAAAGAAATCTATTTTTAGAAGAAATTAAAGAAACGCTTGGCAGAACATTATTATTTCGAAAGCAGAAACCTTGGCAGCTTCCTGGATTCTTGTGCAATCCTGGCGAGAAATGGCTTAGTCTGTATCTTTGGAAAAAACGGTTGGGATTTACAGAAATCCACCACATTCTTCAGCCTTGAGGGTACTGTAAAGCCTTTGTTTTTCTGCTTGATTGTCAAATACTAGGGAGAATGATTTTATTAAGAATGCATCCTCGTTACATACCCACTCATGGTATCTTTGTTGCTCTTCAGGGCCAGACCAAATGTACCTCTACCTTTGGGCCTAGCAGTGGCCAGTCAAATATGCCTGGAAACGTCAGAAATATCATATGATACAGGCCAGAAGTGGCAACAGCTGCTACACCATGGGCAACTCACCCACCCCCAAAATGGTGGCATAATAGGATAATTTTTCCAGGAGGAGCACATGCCTTGGTTTCAAGCTAAAACATATACTCTCCAAAAGGACTATTCAGCCTGAAAACAAAGTACAGTAAATGCTTCCCACATGCCTTGATTGTTTCTCTCAAAGTAAAATTGGTGGTTTACTGTCACAGGCATGTATCCTGAGGCCAGTGCTATGGAATTTAAAAACAAGGTGCACAGTTTCTTTGTACCTTGTGTTAATGAGTAATCACTGGCTTTTTGCTTCCTTTCCATGTAAGACAAGGTTCCCCCCAAGCTGGTGCCCTCCACACAGTCAAATTTCTGCAGTCCTGGTGGGGTACAAAACTGGGTGATTTTGTTGCCCACACATTGTATAGATTAGGGTGGGGGGAAAGCCAGTCACATGCAGCTTCCTACAGCACCCATCAGATTCTTGAATTAAAACAGGACAAAGCTGTCCACATCTCTGGCAGTTTATGTTGCCATTTTCATATAATTCCCTGTCCTGGAAGATAGAGGGTATTTTAGTTTGCCCAAGATAAAAATGGGCCTCTACCCCTCAGAAGTTGCACTTCCCTGAATCAGGTGGTCATTC